AGCCAAAAACACATTCCGGCACGCCAAGTACAGCGGGGCTTAGCAGCTGCCACGCTGGTCGCAGTAATCAGCGCATGATGGATCTTTCTGCTCCTATTCCCAGGGCGCCTCTCGTTTTGCCGCCTCCTGTCCCGATCCTGTGATCCTGGACGTGAAAAAAGTGCAGAAATTCTGGGCTGCTTTCTCCCGGTGTCACCACTCTGGTCTGGGGGGCGCTGTGTCATGAATGTGATCCCAGGAATGGAGATAACGCATCGATGCATTCTAGTGTTTCGAAAGCTTTGTGTTGATATGCGGTTTGTAGAGACAGGAGGGGGGGGGGGGGGGGAAGGGGATTGGAGGGGGGGCTCTGGAGCTGCAACATAAAAAAAAAAAGAAAAAACTCTAAAATGTTTCTAACGGTTCCTCTGCATCCTGGCAGTGAAGTGCTGAGTGTACTAGAATATGTTGTGTCAGATCACAGGCACTCTAGCGGGCAGGGGGGTTCACTGTGCCAGATCGTGGCCAATGCAGTGAAGAGGGGGCTCACTGTGCCAATCACAGCCAATGCAGTAAAGAGGGGGCTCATTGTTCCAAATCATGGCCAATGCAGTGTAGAGGGGGGGGCTCATTGTTCCAAATCACGGCCAATGCAGTGTAGAGGGGGCTCATTCTGCCAAATCATGGCCAATGCAGTGTAGAGGGGCCTCATTGTGCCAAATCATGGCCAATGCAGTGAAGAGGGGGCTCATTGTGCCAAATCATGGCCAATGCAGTGAAGAGGGGGCTGATTGTGCCAAATCATGGCCAATGCAGTGAAGAGGGGGCTGATTGTGCCAAATCATGGCCAATGCAGTGAAGAGGGGGCTGATTGTGCCAAATCATGGCCAATGCAGTGGAGAGGGGGCTGATTGTGCCAAATCATGGCCAATGCAGTGAAGAGGGGGCTGATTGTGCCAAATCATGGCCAATGCAGTGAAGAGGGGGTTGATTGTGCCAATTCATGGCCAATGCAGTGAAGAGGGGGTTGATTGTGCCAAATCATGGCCAATGCAGTGAAGAGGGGGCTCATTGTGCCAAATCATGGCCAATGCAGTGAAGAGGGGGCTCGTTGTGCCAATTCATGGCCAATGCAGTGAAGAGGGGGCTCATTGTGCCAAATCATGGTCCAATGCAGTGAAGAGGGGGCTCATTGTGCCAAATTGCGGCCAATGCAGTGAAGAGGGGGCTCATTGTGCCAAATCATGGCCAATGCGGTGGAGAGGGGGCTGATTGTGCCAAATCATGGCCAATGCAGTGAAGAGGGGGCTCAGTGGGCTCATTGTGCCAAATCACGGCCAATGCAGTGAAGGCTCATTGTGCCAATTCATGGGAAATGGTGAAGAGGGGGCTCATTGTGCCAAATCGCAGCCAATGCAGTGAAGAGGGGGCTCATTGTGCCAAATCGTGGCCAATTCAGTGAAGAGGGGCTCATTGTGCCAAATTGTGGCCAATGCAGTGAAGAGGGGGCTCATTGTGCCAAATCGTGGCCAATGCGGTGGAGAGGGGGCTCATTGTGCCAAATCGCGGCCAATGCGGTGGAGAGGGGGCTCATTGTGCCAAATCGCGGCCAATGCGGTGGAGAGGGGGCTCATTGATGCATTTTATTTTTGTTACTATGCTACTTTTTGAATGTAGTTTTTGTATTTCCTCCAGTCTAATAGGATGTATTATATTGTTACTATGACTAGATTTGAACACGACAGTCTGTGGGCTGCAATAAGGATCCCGATCCCCGCTGTCTCTTCCTTTTTTCAGGGACCAGATTTCGGCTATGTGACGAAGGTGGCGGATGCTGACGAGGTGACCAGCCTGGACTCCTTCGGGAATCTGGAAGTGAGCCCGCCGGTGACCGTCCGTGGCAAGAAGTATCCACTGGGGCGAATTCTGATCGGAAGCAGCTTTCCCACGTAAGTTTTCACCGCTTTGCTTCTCACGTCAACATTTTCTGGCGGCGCACCTCTTTCTGACTGCACCAGTCCTCCGGCACCCGTGTCCTCTGTGTCCCCTCTCTGATCTCGGCGGGGGTGGACGGGCTCTGAGTAATTCTAGCTCATCAGCTGTCACATGAATGGCAGTGAACCCTGTGGGCCGATGGAGGCACATTGCTGAGCGGGCAGAGTTATTTGTGAGGGTCTCTGTGATGAGCTCATCCCCTCGGGAACGCTAGAGTGCCCCCGCGGTGTCATGTGACCAAAGGCCACCGGTATGGACCGCATACGACATAACCGCACACTGGGAACGTCACTCCCACCCCGAGCCACCTCCAGTGTCCAGCATAAAAAGAAAATTTTGTCCATCCCCACCCCTTCAAAAATCTTGCAGGTCAAATTTTTGGGTAAAAACTTTACACGTTGCAGAGTCCCCTTTACATGTTGCAGAGTCCCCTTTACACATCAGAGTCCCCTCTCTCCTCCTTTACATCCCAAAGGTGTTCTATGGGGTTGAGGTCAGGACTCTGTGCAGGACAGTCAAGTTCCTCCACCCCAAACTGGCTCCTCCATGTCTTTATTATTATTATTATACAGTATTTATAAAGTGCCAATAGTTCGCTCAGCGCTGTACATTACAAAGGGGGACAGAACATGTGACAGAACAATACCAATACAATGCAATACATGAGGGGATCGAGGGCCCTGCTCTTTCGAGCTTACAATCTAGGAGGGAGGGGTGGTGGCACAGGAGGAGATAGCTGTGGGGGATGGAGTGGTAGGAAGAGTGGAGGAGGTCGGCAAGTTAGCAGGGGGTGGGGTAGGCTTCCCTGAAGAGATGGGTTTTCAGGGTGCGCCTAAAGGAGAGGAGAGTAGGTGATAATCTGATGGTTGGGGCAGGGAGTTCCAGAGGATGGGTGACACCCTGGAGAAGTCCTGGAGGCGGGCATGGGAGGAGGAGACCAGGGAACTAGAGAGAAGGAGGTCTTGTGAGGAGCGGAGTGTGCGTGCTGGGCGGTACTTGGATATTAGGTCGGTGATGTAGTTCGGGGCAGTATGGTGGACAGCTTTGTATGTCAGTGTTAGGATTTTGAATTTGATCCGTTGCGCAATCGGAAGCCAGTGCAGGGATTGGCAGAGGGGGTGGAGGACACTGAGTGGAGGCCAGTGGAGGGATTGGCAGAGGGGGGTGGCGGAAACGGAGCGGTTGGAAAGGTGAATGAGTCTGGCAGCCGTATTCAGGATGGACTGAAGCGGGGATAGCCAGCGGCGAGGCAGGCCAGTGAGGAGGGAGTTGCAGTAGTCGAGTCGTGATATGATGAGGGAGTGGATGAGCTGTTTAGTGGTTTCTGGAGTTAGGAACGTGTGGATTTTGGCGATGTTGCGGAGGTGGAGTCTGCATGTTGCGGAGGCGGAGTCTGCACGAGTTTGTTAAAGATTGGACTTGGGGCTGGAAGGATAGGTTGGAGTCCAGAAATGACACCAAGTACTCTGGCCTGCGGGGCGGGTTTGATGGTGGCGTTGTTGGACATGATGGAGAAGTCAATGGGGGTGGTGTCCGGGCTGGAGGGAAGACAAGAAACTCGGTTTTGGAGAGGGTTCAGGTTAAGGAAGTGGAGCGACATCCAGTCTGATATGTACGCTCAAAAACAGGTGTGTGATTCGGGCGGAGACCGAGGGGGTGAGGGGGGGGGTTTGAGAGATAGATTTGTGTGTCGTCGGCATAGAGGTGGTAGTTGAAGCCGTGAGAGTGTATGAGTTGGCCAAGGGAGGAGGTGTAGATGGAGAAGAGAAGGGGCCCGAGGACAGAGCCTTGAGGGACCCCAACAGAGAGGGGGAGTGAGAGGGAGGTGGTGGCATTATAGGTAACGCTGAAAGAGCGTTGTGACAGGTAGGATGAGAGCCAGGAGAGAGCAGAATCTCTGAGGCCGAGGGAGTGTAGTTTTTTTGAGGAGGATGGGGGTGTCGACTGTGTCGAAGGCCGCAGAGAGGTCAAGGAGTAGAGCACTGAATAGTGGCCATTAGCTTTGGCGGTTAGCAGGTCGTTGGAGAGTTTGAGTAAGGCAGTTTCGGTGGAGTGTAGGGGACGGAAGCCGGACTGTAGGGGATCGAGGAGGTTGTTGTCGTTGAGGTGAGAGCATAGGCGGGTGTAGACTAGGCGCTCGAGGAGTTTAGATGTAAAATGGGAGCAGGGAGATGGGTCTGAGGTTGTTCGGGTCATTGGGGTCTTGCTTTGTGCACTGGTGGGCAGTCATGTTGGAACAGGAAGGGGCCATCCCCAAACTCCTCCCACAAAGTTGGGGGCATGAAATTGTCCAAAATGTCATCTTCACTGGAACTAGGGGGCCAAGCCCAACCCCTGAAAAACAACCCCACACCAAAATCCCCCCTCCACCAAACTTTACACTTGGCACAATGCAGTCAGGCAAGTACTGTTCTCCTGGCCACCGCCAAACCCAGACACGTCCATCGGATTGCCAGACAGAGAAGCGTGATTGGTCACTCCAGAGAACATGTCTCTATGCTCTAGAGTCTAGTGGCGGCGTGCTTTACACCACGGCATCCGACGCTTTGCATTGCACTTGATGATGGAAGGCTTGGATGCAGCTGCTCGGCCATGGAAACCCATTCCATGAAGCTCTCTACGCACTGTTGTTGGGCTCATCTGAAGGCCACACCAAGTTTGGAGGTCTTTAGCTATTGGCTCTGCAGACAGTTGGCGACTTCTGCGCACTGTGCGCTTCAGCATGCGCTGACCCCGCCCTGTCATGTGACGTGGCCTACCACTTGGTGGCTGAGTGGCGGCTGTTCCCAGTTGCTTCCACTTTGTTATAATCCCACTAACAGTTGAGCGTGGAATATTTAGTAGCCAGGAAATGTCACGGATGGACTTATTGCCCAGGTGACCACCTATCACGGGACCACGCTTGGAGTCACTGAGCTCCTGAGAGCGACCCATTCTTTCACCAATGTTTGTAGAAGCTGTCTGCATGCCTAGGGGATGATTGTATACACCTGTGTCCATGGAGGGGATTGGAGCACCTGAATCACATGATATGGAGGGGATTGGAACACCTGAATCACATGATATGGAGGGGATTGGAACACCTGAATCACATGAAAGGGAGGGGATTGGAACACCTGAATCACATGATATGGAGGGGATTGGAACACCTGAATCACATGATATGGAGGGGATTGGAACACCTGAATCACATGATATGGAGGGGATTGGAACACCTGAATCACATGATAGGGAGGGGATTGGAACACCTGAATCACATGATATGGAGGGGATTGGAAAACCTGAATCACATGATATGGAGGGGATTGGAACACCTGAATCACATGATATGGAGGGGATTGGAACACCTGAATCACATGATATTGAGGGGATTGGAACACCTGAATCTCATGATTTGGAGGGGATTGGAACACCTGAATCATGTGATATGGAGGGGGATTGGAACACCTGAATCACATGAGAGGGAGGATTGGAACACCTGAATCACATGATATGGAGGGGATTGGAACACATGAATCACATGATAGGGAGGGGATTGGAACACCTGAATCACATGATATGGAGGGGATTGGAACAGCTGAATCACGATATTGGGAGGGCGGGGGGCCAATACTTTTGGCAATATAGTGTATATGTTTTTGGGCGGAGTTTAGAGTAATTTTTATCAGAGAAATGTTGCCGTGTGCAAAAAATGTAAACAAATTGCAGTAGGCAGGTGGTTAATTTCCGATGAAGGAGGCGGGGCTTGGACTGACCGATGGGGCACAGTGCCAAGAAGGTGTTTGCTGTTGGTTTCTGGTGAATCTTTGTTGTTCTTGTGCCACTCAGCACCTCCGGGAGACGGATGACCAAGGTGGTGAGAGATTTCCTGCAAGCCCAGCGGGTTCAGCCACCCATCGAGCTCTTCAGTGATTGGCTGTTGGTGGGTCACGTGGACGAGTTCTTGACTTTTGTGCCAGCGCCAAATCAGAAGGTATGTCCGCCGAACCAGACGTGTCCTGACGGTGGAGGGATGTCATCATAACGTGTAACAGAACTGAATGCATGGATATCGGGGCGACACTGCAGAGCATTGCACATCATTCATACAGAACACTGCAGAGCATTGCACATCATTCATACAGAACACTGCAGAGCATTGCACATCATTCATACAGAACACTGCAGAGCATTGCACATCATTCATACAGAGCACTGCAGAGCATTGCACATCATTCATACAGAACACTGCAGAGCATTGCACATCATTCATACAGAGCACTGCAGAGCATTGCACATCATCATACAGAGCACTGCAGAGCATTGCACATCATTCATACAGAACACTGCAGAGCATTGCACATCATCCATACAGAACACTGCAGAGCATTGCACATCATCCATACAGAACAGTGCAGAGCATTGCACATCATCCATACAGAACACTGAGAGCATTGCACATCATTCATACAGAACACTGCAGAGCATTGCACGTCATTCATACAGAACACTGCAGAGCATTGCACGTCATCCATACAGAACACTGCAGAGCATTGCACGTCACCATGCAGAGCATTGCACGTCATCCATACAGAACACTGCAGAGCATTGCACGTCATCCATACAGAACACTGCAGAGCATTGCACGTCATCCATACAGAACACTGCAGAGCATTGCACGTCATCCATACAGAACACTGCAGAGCATTGCACGTCATCCATACAGAACACTGCAGAGCATTGCACGTCATCCATACAGAACACTGCAGAGCATTGCACGTCATCCATACAGAACACTGCAGAGCATTGCACGTCATCCATACAGAACACTGCAGAGCATTGCACGTCATCCATACAGAACACTGCAGAGCATTGCACGTCATTCATACAGAACACTGCAGAGCATTGCACGTCATCCATACAGAACACTGCAGAGCATTGCACGTCATTCATACAGAACACTGCAGAGCATTGCACGTCATCCATACAGAACACTGCAGAGCATTGCACATCATGTTAGGCTGCTTTCACACTGAGGAGTTTTTGAAGCGTTTTTGTGTTAAGAAAAGCGCTTGAAAAGCTAAAAGAAAACTGTTTCCCTGTGTATGTGAATGTCCGTCTCTGTGCGTGAATGTCCGTCTCTGTGCGTGAATGTCCGTCTCTGTGCGTGAATGTCCGTCTCTGTGCGTGAATGTCCGTCTCTGTGCGTGAATGTCCGTCTCTGTGCGCGAAGGTCCGTCTCTGTGCGCGAAGGTCCGTCTCTGTGCGCGAAGGTCCGTCTCTGTGCGCGAAGGTCCGTCTCTGTGCGCGAAGGTCCGTCTCTGTGCGCGAAGGTCCGTCTCTGTGCGCGAACGTCCGTCTCTGTGCGCGAAGGCCCGTCTCTGTGCGCGAAGGCCCGTCTCTGTGCGCGAAGGCCCGTCTCTGTGCGCGAAGGTCCGTCTCTGTGCGGGAAGGCCTATCTCTGTATATGTTCCCACTGAGGCGTTGTGCTTGCGGTGTGGTGTGTAAAAAACGCCCGCTTGCAGCATTTTTGGGACATGTTTGGGGAGTAAAAAAAAAAAAAGCCCCAAAAAAACGAGTCTTCCCATCGAAATCATTGAAAAGCGCCTTAAAAAAGCCTCAAAAAATGCCTCTGAGAAGTGTTTTTGGAGCAGTTGTGAAAGTCACGTTTCTTTTAAAAACGCCCAGAAAGCGCGGTGAACCCGCCTACGTGTTTTTTGCGGTGGATCGGTGTGAAAGTCGCCTCACACATACGTCTCGGGCAGAACTTGGCGGCAGTTGGAATTGATGCGACTTCTAAAGGAAGGGGATGATTCTCCCGGCTGGGCGATGCTGCCACCAGCTGGACGGTTTGAGCATCACCTGAACTGTTCATTAGTTCATAGAAGCCGTCACACTTGTCTAAATGCATGCAGTAAGAACTGTCTGTATTGTCGCATAGCAACCAATCAGAATAAGCCTGTCAATTCACAACTGTCATTTTCCCCTTGCAGGTCTGAACCTGGTTGGGGCTGTTTGTATTTTCTCAGTTGGTGGTGGTGGGTGAGGGGGGGGTTTCTGGGAAACCTGATGGGGTCTCCTGACTTCTCTCTTCTCTCTCCAGGGCTTCCGCCTCCTCCTGGCCAGTCCGGCTACCTGTTTCCGAATCCTGCAGGACAAGAAGCAGGAAGGACACGGAGACGTGGCCATACTGCAGGGTAAAATAGAAAGGATAACCTCCTGCGCCAAAATGTAGATGTAAATAATTAGATGATGAAAGCAGCCTGTATTAGTAGTGCCACAGCCACAGCACCAAAGACAACAACTCAATATAAAACCAATTAATACGGCGCTAAATGAACAAAATTAGATGAACCATATAGTAAAATAGCTGACATATATATATAAGGAATGGCTGACATATATATATAAAAAGAGTGAAATAGACAGCTAAAAGGGTGACATGCATGAAGGTGAGCAAAGACGTGGATAATGTCCTTAATGGATAAACATAAGGTGAATGGTGTCCTTGATGGATCACACAAACTTCATGCAGGTGTGAGCCACACTGTGCCAATCCTCTAAGGCTGGGGTGCCCCCTCACCTTCCTGCTCAGGCCCCCAGGGACCAAAGAGCTTGTAATGCTGTTTGTAATGATCCTGCTGATCGATGGATCCTGTTGGTAATAGTGGTGTCACTCACTCCTCCCGGTAGGTCTTAGTATGGAATAGTACCTCAGCACTGCCCGTGGTGTCTCTCCGATAAAGGCTCTCCAGTACGGTCACCAGTGAGGCAAGAGAGACTTACATAGTGTAAAACCTTTTATTAGAGTAAAAAACAACCAAGAGCCTACTTACACGAATCTGATAGTAAGCAGGCCTTTACACCTCTCCAAGGGTGTACTGTATACAGGACTTGGGGCACCAAGATGGCGTCCACGCCGGATGTGACGTCAAGCCGTCGATCGTAGGGAAGCTCCTCCCTCTGGCGTATCTACGCGTTACGTCACTCAAGCACGTGACTTCATCAGGATATTATCCTGATATCCTGATGAAGTCACGTGCTTGAGTGACGTAACGCGTAGATACGCCAGAGGGAGGAGCTTCCTACGATCGACGGCTTGACGTCACATCCGGCGTGGACGCCATCTTGGTGCCCCAAGTCCTGTATACAGTACACCCTTGGAGAGGTGTAAAGGCCTGCTTACTATCAGATTCGTGTAAGTAGGCTCTTGGTTGTTTTTTTACTCTAATAAAAGGTTTTACACTATGTAAGTCTCTCTTGCCTCACTGGTGACCGTACTGGAGAGCCTTTATCGGAGAGACACCACGGGCAGTGCTGAGGTACTATTCCATACTAAGACCTACCGGGAGGAGTGAGTGACACCACTATTACCAACAGGATCCATCGATCAGCAGGATCATTACAAACAGCATTACAAGCTCTTTGGTCCCTGGGGGCCTGAGCAGGAAGGTGAGGGGGCACCCCAGCCTTAGAGGATTGGCACAGTGTGGCTCACACCTGCATGAAGTTTGTGTGATCCATCAAGGACACCATTCACCTTATGTTTTATCCATTAAGGACATTATCCACGTCTTTGCTCACCTTCATGCATGTCACCCTTTTAGCTGTCTATTTCACTCTTTTATATATATATGTCAGCCATTCCTTATATATATATATGTCAGCTATTTTACTATATGGTTCATCTAATTTTGTTCATTTAGCGCCGTATTAATTGGTTTTACATACTGCAGGGTAGGGTGGCATCACTTACATAGTTCTCTATTGAGGCTGGTCATACACAGCGTTCTACCACTGGCCAAAATCTGAGCCTTGGGGTGGTGCTACCAATACAGCCGGGCTTGGCAAGCTTTCATTGGGAAGTCTAAGGAGTTGGGTGGAGATGTCCAAACAACCAATCAGAGGCAGGCATTGTTTGGGTATCCTGTCAACCCTGGTAGAGGGAGACTCCGTTCCGTGCTGTTTATCATGGGAGACATCTATGGATCATTCACATGAGCTAGACATACACTACATTGCCAAAGGTATTGGGCCGCGGCCTTTCCATGCACATGACCTTTAATGGCCCCCCAGTCTTAGTCCGTAGGGTTCAATATTGAGTTGGCCCCGCCCTTTCCACACACGACCTTTAAATGGCCCTCCAGTCTTAGACCGTAGGGTTCAATATTGAGTTGGCCCCGCCCTTTCCACGCACATGACCTTTAATGGCCTTCCCAGTCTTAGTCCGTAGGGTTCAATATTGAGTTGGCCCCCCGCCCTTTCCACGCACATGACCTTTAATGGCCTCCCAGTCTTAGTCCGTAGGATTCAATATTGAGTTGGCCCCGCCCTTTCCACGCACATGACCTTTAAATGGCCCCCCAGTCTTAGTCCGTAGGGTTCAATATTGAGTTGGCCCTGCCCTTTCCACGCACATGACCTTTAATGGCCCCCCAGTCTTAGTCCGTAGGGTTCAATATTGAGTTGGCCCCGCCCTTTCCACACACGACCTTTAATGGCCCTCCAGTCGTTTTAGACCGTAGGGTTCAATATTGAGTTGGCCCCACCCTTTCCACGCACATGACCTTTAATGGCCTTCCCAGGCTTAGTCCGTAGGGT